GTAAGCCAAAATTTAACGGAGGGACCAAAAAGGGGTCGGATTTGTTAACAGTAAGGATCAAAAAGGGGATTTTTTCGGTATAGGGACTAAAAAGGGGCTTTTTCTTATAGTAGAGGGACCAAAAAGGGTATTTAACCTTTAACTTTTAATAGTTGAGACTTATCATGACTTTTTATATGAAAATAATAATTAGCTTTAATAAATATAGATAAATTTCAACAATTGAAAGTAGAAAGATGAATAGTTGAAATTTTGTTTAAATATGATGTATACAACTTGTGTGTAAGTGCATCTTTACTCGAAAGTTATTATTTACAGTTGCTTCTGCAAGCAAAGGTGGAACTTAATATGCAGTCAGCTAGCGCAGAGTCTCCTGGTTCCGACGCCTATTCATCACCAATTGATCCTACCAAACAAGAGCATAGTCAGAAAATTTAATGGTTGCCAGCCTTGATGAGTTGAATTGAATTTATATAGATATTAATGTAGAATTTCTGTCTTGATATTATTGATATTTTGATGAATTTTATGAGATTTTACATTGTTTTCATTCTTTGTGCTGAAAAGGATTTGAATGCATAAAATAAGAGTTTTTAGGATTAATTGAATATCTTTTGAAAGTTGAGGGACTGAATTGCAAGAATGGTGCCCCTTTGGGACCTAAATAAATGAATCTCGAGTTTTTGGATCTAAGTGCTCATCGTACAAAATCTGGAGGACCAAATATGCTATTTTACCATTGAAGAAATTGCGAAAAAAGACTAGAAACTCAACATGGGTGTAGTTTCAACACATAATTTGGATATCGACACCATGGTTTAAGCATCTAGAATTAAACTTTATGTTCCTATTTTGTGTCGACACATAATTCGAGGTGTCCACATGCATTCAGCATCCAAATTTCAACTTTCCTATTCTGTTCCAAAACTTACTTCTATTCTAATTAGGGTTTCTAAAATCTTATAAATACCTATCCAAATTCAAAATTGGGAGAGCTTTGGAGGAAAACTAGTGACAGTCCTCTTTTGGGTATTATTGGAGATCAAAATAACAGTTTCATCAACGATAGAAGATTAAGGATTTCAACTTCCTCTCCTCAAATTGGGTTTTACTTTTCCTTAAATTCTTTTTATCTATTGTTTGATATTCGAATGTTCCTAACTATAATTTTAAGTTTTATTATTTTTATTATGAACTAATTTATTCTACTAGGGTTACGATTAGCATAATCAATTTAATATAAATTTTTTGATTTTTATACTTTCACTTAAAGTTATTCGCATGAGGAGTTTATATTATTAAACTTAATGCATTAGAAACCTAATCACCTTTTAATTGATTTAGTGATTTATGCATGAACTTCAGAAAGAATTGTGTAAATTAGATCAATAATAATATAAACTGTGTATTAGATTATAAAACCGAAAGGTAATTAGCTCAGATGTGGTAGTGGAGGAAGAGAAGAGAGCTAGTAGCTCTCCTTTCTTAAACTAGAGGTTTCCATAGAATTTAATGCTCATTAGATTATTTAAAATTACATAGAAATAAGATTAATTTAACAAACAAGTGAATGATTAGTTTGACTTCAGAAGCTAATTAATTAATTCAGGAAAATCTACCATTACATGCAATAACACCCAACAATTTGGTAATTTAGAATTTATATTGATTGATTATGGTGAAATCAATGCTTTAGTACCTTATATCTTGGTTAGTTTTATTTTAATTATTATTTTCTTTTTGTTATTTTAATTAAAATTCTCTCTTTTGATTATTTAAATAAATTTAGATTAATTATTTTGGTACTTAATTAGACACAATCCTCATGGATTCGACACTCTTTTTATCATTATATTACTTGGAATGACTAGTACACTTGTTAGAGTGATTTTAATGCATCAAGTTTTTAGCGTCGTTGCCGGGGATTGTTGATTTAATTAATATCGAAATTAGTTAATTTTATATTTAATTTGAACGTTTTCTTTTCTTTTATTTATTTACTTTGATTTTTTTTCGTTTATTTTGTTTTTGTTTTTGTAGGTCTAACTATGAATTGAGTTGTCTTAAACACTAATGTGAATGATCAATGGCTTGCGTCGGAGATAAGGGCGCAAGTTGAAGCAATAACTATCAATTGGGATGCAGAAATTGACGATGATGAACTTGAACAATTTGAGCAGTCATTGAAAGGCAAAAATTAAAGAAAGCTATAATAGGTCAATTAAATATCACTTGTAAATGGTGTGGATTCAACCATTTTAGTTCTGATTGCTATTTTAAACGATCTAACAAGTGTATTGATTTTTATAGCCAACAGTATAATTCTTATCTCAATACATACAACTCTGATTGGATAAATTATTCAAACTCCTCATCGAATAATGAAGATATATTGGAGCCACAATCAAGGTTTTAAGTTCAAGAAGAAAAGACATGTTTGGATAAAAATCTGGAGGTCCAATCAAGTCATTCTTAACTTAGTTGCTGAAGAGATGCGGGGTGAGTTACCTAGTGCAACAATGAAAAATCAAGAAGAAAAGGTAAACACCTTACCCTTGGAGATTGAAGGACAACTTGAAGAAGTGGAAAGTATACCTACAAAAACTAAACAAGAGGATGTCCCTAAGGAAGAAGAGGAACAAGCTCAAGTGTCATTTGAAGTGTTTAATGGGGAGTCTCCTTTAACCAAATCTGATTTTAATGATCATTTTGTTATTAATATGGTTGATAAGATTTTGTAGGAAAACACTTATGAGGATCCATTTGAGATTTACCTTATTCAAGCAAAGGACCCAATCAAAGAATACATAAATTGCTTAAACACATCCTCATCTTCCTTGAAATCGAAGGGGACTATCCTAGAAGAATTGGGAAGGCACATCTCCTGGCCTAAACCCAAACCGCCTCAGAATAATCATTAGAAAAAATCTTATGGTGGATTCAATTTAAGGGCAATGAAGCCAAGATTTAAGAAAATGAGAGGACATACCCTACGACCTGATCCAAAACTACCTTGGAGTGGTAAAAAGTCTAACTAATGACTATAAATTAAGCGCTTCTTAGGAGGCAACCCAAGCATAAATTTTCTTTTCTTTTATTTTTTTGTCTTTTATTTTACTAGTTTAGATTTTTTTAAAATCATTTTCTCCTAATTGCCCAGATTAATGCATAAATGGTTGTTCTTTGATTTTGGCCAGGTCATTGAACAAGTTTGGGGGACAAGATTACGAAATTCACATGCTTGAAGTCTCCAATTGCAAAGAATTCAATTTCAAGACTCAAATTCTCAAGTGCAAAATCTAGGAAGTTCTTTTTTCTCTTACTTTTATTTTACATGGAGGACAATGTTTGATTTAAGTTTGGGGGAGAGGATAACTTTTAGGCATCCATTCTTACGTTAATTTACATTCATATTTGCATGACATATTTTTATTTTTTTAGAAATTAGGGTTTTTTTTTTTAGGAGTTGGTCCAATTAGTGTCAAGGAATTGAATATTCTTGAGTTTGAGATTCAAAAACTTCTAAAATCTTTTAATCTTAGAGGAGATACAAAATCTGAAAAATAGCACCATTGTGATGAAGTTTAAGTTCATGAGTATTATATTTCACTTGAGCACAAGTTTGTAGTGAGAAGTTTAGAGAGAAGATTTAGTAGCACCTAAAAAGCACATCAAAAAGAGAGAGAGAGAGAGAGAGAGAGAGAGAGAGAGAGAGAGGGAGAGAGAGAGAGAAAAGAAAAAAAAGAAGCCAATACACAAGAGTTTATTAAACTCTACTTTAATGTTTCTAGTTGTTTAGTAATTAGGGGTTAGGCATGAGACCCATGTCAACTTTCACGTCTAACGACGACTTGAAATATGAGTATGCAAAGCACTTTGAGTTTATGACTTGTTGAGTAACTGGGTGCTTTCATCACAAATGTTAGTATTCACGTTAAAAGACAAGTGATAACTTAGGGAAGAATGTGTTATATGGCTGAAGAAAAAAAAAAGAAAAAAAAGAAGAAAAAAAGAAAAGAAAAGAAAAAGAGAAGTCGAATGTTTCGTGGCCTTTGTTACTTGAGTAAGCATGTTCTTAGGGGTGTCTCTTCACCTAATGCTTTAAAGCCAACTGGTTTGGGAGTCATTGACAAAAAACTCGTTACATGGGTAACTTAAAAAGCCTAAGAAAACTTGACATATGAGGGAGAGAGAGAGAGAAAGAGAGAGAATAATAATAAGTGCTATGGTGTGAAAGTCTAAACTTGAGCTTAATATGAATTTCCACACACACACACTAAATGCTCATGGGTTAAATCTTTTAACAAGTGGTGTGAATAATAGGATAAGTATTTTACTTTAAGTGAGTGTATGAAAACTTTTGAATATTTGAGATTTTACCTTTAATTGAATTTTAATTCCTAAATTTTCTTTGCATGCATATCATTTAGTTGCATTCTTGCATTGGGATTTTGTGGGTAGATCCGCTAAAAATCCTCATAAGACACAACTCATCCAGTAGGGTGACTTGGGGGTTTAAAGGCTTGTTGGACATGCTAAGTGCAATCATGATTCCTACGAAAGTGAGTTAAGTTTTATTTTTGTTTCTTTTATCTTTTTATTTTACTCGATGACAAGTAAAACTTAAGTTTGGAGGAATTTGATGAGTTGAATTTATACAAATATTAATATGAAATTTTTGTCTTGATATTATTGATATTTGAATAAATTTTATGAGATTTTACATTGTTTTTATTCTTCGTGCAGAAAAAGACTTGAATGCATAAAAATAAGAGTTTTTAGGATTAATTGAACATCTTTTGAAAGTTGAGGGACTGAATTGCAAGAAGAAGGGTGCCTCTTTGGCACCTAAATGAATGTGAGTTTTGGGATCTAAGTGCTCATCATACAAAATCTGGAGGACCAAATTTGTTATTTTACCATTGAAGAAATTGCAAAAACAGACTAGAAACTCGACACGAGTGTAGTGTCGATACATAAGTTGGGTGTTGACACCATGGTTTAAGCGTCTAGAATTAGACTTTTTGTTTCATGTTTTGCATTGACACGTAATTCAAGGTGTCCCCATGCGTTCAGCATCCAAATTTCAACTTTCCTACTTCTATTCCAAATCCTACTTCTATTCTAATTAAGGTTTCTAAAATCTTATAAATATCTATCCAAATTCAAAATTGGGAGAGTTTTGGAGAAGAGCTGGTGACAGCTCTCTTTTAGGCATTATTGGAGATCAAGATTAGAGGTTTCATCAACAATAAAAGATCAAGATAGAGATTTCATCAATAATAAAAGATCAAGAATTTCAACTTCCTTTCCTCAAATTGGGTTTTGCTTTTCTTTAAATTCTGTTTATCTATTATTTGATATTCAAATGTTCATAACTATAATTTCAGGTTTTATTATTTTTATTATGAACTAATTTATTCTATTAGGGTTACGATGTAACTTAATTAATTTAATATAGATTTTGAGATTTTTATACTTTCAATTAAAGTTATTCACATGAGAAGTTTATATTATTAAACTTAATGTATTGAAAGCCTGATCACCTTTCAATTGATTTAGTGATTTATGCATGAACTTGAGAAAGAATTGTGTAAATTAAACTAATAATAACATAAACCATGTGTTAGATTATGAGATCAAGAGGTAATTAGTTCACATGTGGTAGTAGAGGAAGAGAAGAGAGCTAGTAACTACCCTTTCTTAAACTAAAGGTTTCCATAGAATTTAATGCTAATTAGTTTGTTTAAAATTATATAGGGATATGATTAATTCAACAAACAAGTGAAGAATTAGATTAGCTTAACTTGAGAAAATTAGTTAATTAATTTAGGAAAATCTGCCATCATATGCAATAATACTCAACAATTTGGTAATCCAAAAGTGAATTCAATGCCTTCGTATCTTATATCGTGGTTAGTTTTATTTTAATTGTTAGTTTTTTTTGTTATTTTAATTAAAATTCCCTTTTTTTGATTGTTCAAATAAATTTAGATTAATTATTTTGGTACTTAATTAGACATAATTCTCATAGATTCTTCTCATAATTATATTACTTGGAATGACTAGTACACTTATTAGAGTGATTTTAGTGGATTAAACTTCACTTTCTTAAGCTCGGAATAATTGTGGCAATCAAAGACTAACTCCACCCACTGGTGTTTTATACGTGTACCACTTAGCAATCAGGACATAAACGACTAAATTCACCACACTTAATACTGTCAACAGCCAGAAGAAGTAATGGAGATGGCCATAGTTTAAGTTGTCTGGTATCCATCCTACTTTCCCATTCTTGGTGCTCACACTTGTGACAATAGTCACAAGAAGAGAACTTAGGTAGTTTCCAAGT